AAAAAAAAAAAAAAGTTGGATTTTGATGCTAAAGAAAAGCTTTTCAGGCAACTCAGACACTAATAATTCCATTTTCCCAGGAAGGGGTGGCCTAGCCAATGGAGCCCTCCCCCACTGCCCCCCTCCCCACCCCAAGGGGATAGAGTGTCAGTAATCCTTTCTCTGCAGGAGACAATGCTCCATCTGAATCATGGTCACTTTAGAGTGGGAACGAAACTAGATGTGTACCCTGAGTACCACGCTGATGCCCAGGAGGCCTTACTGGACATTGGGAGGTTTCTCCTGGTCACTGTGAAAGCAGCCATGAGAACCCAGCCTTCTAGGCCAGTGAAGAAAAGTGCCTGCGCTAAACTATGCCACCTGTTTGGCTTCCAAGCCTGACTTCCCAGACCCTGCACACACGTGTCTTCTCAGGACCTGGGAAAGTTAGGGTGGGCTTCCTGGAAGAGGGGACAACTGAGGAGAAAGAATGGTGCTGCAGGACGTATTTGGGAATGCTCCTCGTGGGTGCAACACCCCAAGGCCGCCCTAGTGATGCTGCTGTCCCTGGTCCTGACAGGTCTGGCCCAGCAGCCACACCTCCCTCCAGTAGCAGCTGGTTAGGTCAGGGGCTAGCCTGGTGCCAGGGGCTGCCTGGGGAGGCCAATGTCAGGCCAGAGAAGGTTTTCCAGGAGGCCAACTTCGACTGTCCAAGAGGCTGAAACGTCCTGTTCAGGGAGGAAAGCCAGGATAGCCAAGTACCCAGGCCTTCATCATCTGCCCACCACACAGGGTCCTATCCAACATCTATTTCGCTTATTTTTAACCAAGTGCCTAGTTTTTATTTGGTGGTATTTTCCGGAAATGCGTGGCCCCGTCTTGATGAAAAATATTTATGTCTATGGGCAGCGTCTTGGCTCAATGGGTAGGGCGCTGGCCCCACATACCAAGGGTGGTGAGTTCACGGCCAAAATTGCAATAAAAAATAGCCAGGCGTTGTGGCGGGCTCCTGTAGTCTCAGCTACTCGGGAGGCTGAGGCAAGAGAATAGCCTAAGTCCAGGAGTTGGAGATTGCTGTGACGCCACAGTACTCTACCGAGGGCGATAAAGTGCGACTCTGTCTCAAAAAAAAAAAAAAAAAAAAAAATTCATGTCTCGCCTCTAGCTGCTTCGCCTTTGATAGTTCTTCACAAAGAACTAGGGTAGGGAGAGCAGAAGGTAGTGGGCTCTGGTAGGAGCCCGGGGATCCGGGCGGGCGGCGCGGGGCCGGGAAACGGACGCTGGCACAGGTCGGGGGAAGTGCGTGGCCCCAAGAGGTAGGAGCCCAAGGAGGATGTCAGATCCTCACCGCCCACCCCTCGCTCAGGCTGGTTTCCGCTTTGCCGCCGCCTGGTAGGGGCAGGAAGCCGCGCGCCAGTCTCGGGAGCCCCACGCCCCGGTCTCCAGGCCCGGGAAATTCGCTGCGGCCCCGCCCCGGCCCCGCCCCGCCGCCCCTGCAGCCGGGCTCGCTCCGCTCAGCTCCAGCTCCGGCGCTGGGCGCTGGGCTGGGCCCCGGCCGAGCGGCGGCAGCTCCGGACATGTCGGGCCCCCGCGCCGGCTTCTACCGGCAGGAGCTGAACAAGACGGTGTGGGAGGTGCCGCAGCGGCTGCAGGGCCTGCGTCCGGTGGGCTCCGGCGCCTACGGCTCGGTCTGGTAGGGGCGGGGCCGGGGTGGGGGCGGCGGGGGCTGGCACCGGACGGTGTGTGCGCCCTCCCCGCCCGGCGCTGGGGTCCCGGCGCGGGGAGGAGCTTCGTCCTGCCTGGATCAGAGGATTAAATGGGTGGGCATGAAGGAAACTTTCCTTTAAGCCGCTGCTCCTGGGCTTTGGGGTGTGGAGGGGCTCTCCGGCCCCGCCCGATTCAGAGCGACCCCCACCAGGCTTGAATACTGGGGGTCACAACTGGTGGGAGAGTGGGTCTTCCGGGCCCAAAATGTGTGAGCACTCCTTCGGGGTTCACTCATTCAAGGGCCAGCCAGTCCCCTGGGGCCAGCAGGTAGCCCCACCCAGGGTGGGTGCAATTGTTTGAAAAGGGATTGCTCAGCAAGGGGAAGATCAAGACCTCTCTCTTTAGGATGGCCTCAGGCTCCCCCTAGGGTCCTGCTCCCTCCTCCCCGCCCCCCCTTGTTTTTTCTGAAGAATCTCAGACTCCAGATGGGGTTTAGGCGTGAACAGAGATGCCTAGCATTTACCCTACATCCCTGGGGTGTCTATACCCGACTCCGCTTCACAGCCCACCCCCACCTTTCAGTTAGGCCCTGGGGTGGAGCCCAGAGTCTGGATGAGGGGCCCAGATTGGGTTGAGGCTTCCACTACCCTGGCACCAGGTCTGCAGGGGCTTAGAATGAGGTGGTTACATGAGTCCAAGTTGCAGCTTTGATGTTGACAGTGAGTTCCTGGGTCTGGGTATGTAGAGGTGTCCCCCCAGCACCCAGCCACTTCTTACTGAGCCTAGTGCCAGGGAATTGCTATCCGTTGAGGGGTTGTTGCGCAGGTCAGGGGCAGGGTGCTGGTTCAGGCCGCTGCAGATTAGGAGTGGGACTTCTCACAGCCCATCCCCCTGAAGCCGAGCTCAGGAGCTACAGCAGGGGCTAGGGTCCCAGGGCAGACTGCTGTCTTATGCTATCCCTTGGCCATCATAAGAAGCCTCAGGCAGGTCACTTCAGCCATTCTAGTGCAGGCCTGTCCTATCTCTAAGACCTCAAGAGTGGAAAGTGAGTTGGGGATACATTGGGAGTGGCCACCTGGGACTCAGACAGGGCCCTGGCTGGACTCACCTCTGGGACGGGTTATCTGGTACTTCCTGAGGGGTGTCAAGTTCCTGGATGAGGCCCTGTCTCTCTCTGCTGCACCTCTGGCCCCCTTAGCACAGTTCCATTGCTAAGGCTGGTGATGGTAGATATCAATTCCCTGTCTTGTGACTGCACAGATACAATCAAGCAAAAGGCTCTGCTGTCCCACAAGAGGGGCCACTCCCCACACCTCCCACCCCAGGAGTACCTTGGACCTTCCCCCACAGTTCACAGGCTGGGGGAAGAGCACACATGCCCCAGGCATCTACTTGATTTTCTTCCACCATTATCTGGGTCCATGAGCACTCCAGGCCTGACAGGGCTGCCTCTCTTTCCCTAGTGTGGGTATGGGGAGTGGCCTAGGTCTCCAAAGGAGGGCCTAGATCTCCAGAGAAGGGAGGGGAAGCAGGAGTGAGACAAAGGACCAGAAGGACAGGCATTGCCTTCAGCAGGCCTCCAGAAGTAGCCCCCTCTCTGAGAACTGATCCTGAGGGCAGTGGGACCCGGAGTGCATGACCTTGGTAACCCTGTCCCACCAGCATTTGAGGATGATGGCGGTGCCTGCTGCCTTTCCAGAGAAGAGTAGATGGGTCAAGAGGCTGGTGTGGAGGTGGAGGGTCTGGCTCTCTGTAGGTTGAGCTGGTAGGGTGGGATAGAACCCCAGAGGCTACTTGCAGCCGGACATTTCTACTGTCCCGTTTTTTTTTGAGTTGCAAATAATGGAGCAATAAACATCTGTGACTATTTTCCTTCCCTGTTTTGAATATTTAGAGGCATTGGGGTGCACACGCCAGTGGCTCCACTGGCTCTTGCCCGAAATGTTATGTACGAGCTGTCTGACGGGGCCCCTCCCCAGCCTCGCTTTGAATGGGGATCCTGGGTTAGGGGACAAGAGGCCACCCAGGACCTTGAGTGGCACACCACAGGAGCTCCTTCCCAGCACACATAAAGGGTCGGTGGGCTCCTGCCCGGCCTCCGCCGCCGCCTCACTCGCCCGCTTTCCAGTTCGGCCTACGACACGCGGCTGCGTCAGAAGGTGGCAGTGAAGAAGCTGTCCCGCCCCTTCCAGTCGCTGATCCACGCACGGAGGACGTACCGGGAGCTGCGTCTGCTGAAGCACTTGAAGCACGAGAACGTGAGCACGGAACAACCTACAGAGGGCGGACCAATGAGGAGGGCTCACCCTGTGGGCGGGCCCACGGCGGGCGGAGCCAATAGGCGGGGTGAGCCCGAAGCGGGGGGCGGGCTAAGGGGAGGAGTCAACGAGGGCGGAGCCAGGCGCTCAATCTCCGGTAGGTATTAGCTGCCGGGTCCCGACTTTTTTCCACACCTAGGTTATCGGGCTTCTGGATGTTTTCACCCCGGCCACTTCCATCGAGGACTTCAGCGAAGTGTGAGCGGCGGGGAAGGCGAGGCAGCGGCCCGGGGAGGAGGGTAGTAGGCCTCTGTCCTGACCCTTGACCCCGTCCTAGGTACTTGGTGACCACCCTGATGGGCGCCGACCTGAACAACATCGTCAAATGTCAGGCGCTGAGCGACGAACACGTTCAGTTCCTGGTTTACCAGCTGCTGCGCGGGCTGAAGGTGGGGGCGCGCTCGGCTTCTTGGGTTCCCTCCTGGAGTGGGCGGGCACCCGGTGCTCACGCGCTCTCCCTTCCTGCAGTACATCCACTCGGCTGGGATCATCCACCGGGTAGGTGCAGCTTCGGGGTGAGGGGCGGTCTGGCAGGGCTGGAGGGTATACCTTCTGTGCTCAGGCCTCCCCTCGCCCCTTCAGGACCTAAAGCCCAGCAACGTGGCTGTGAATGAGGATTGCGAGCTCAGGGTGAGGGACTCGAGGGCCCTGGGTGGGAGTGGCATGGGGCCAAATTATGGGGGGCGGGGGAGCATTGAGAACTCCTTTCTGTGGCTCTAGATCCTGGACTTTGGACTTGCGCGCCAGGCAGATGAGGAGATGACTGGATATGTGGCTACGCGCTGGTACCGGGCCCCTGAGATCATGCTGAACTGGATGCATTACAATCAGACAGGTGCTGTGAACCCTGAGGGGAGTGGCAGCAGCAGCACTAGGGTGGGTGGGCAAAGTTCACACCTAGGCCTGGGGAGGGTAGAACCAAAGGCAGAGGGCCTGGAAGGGGCATGCCCAGTCTCTGTGACAGGCAAGGCCTGGAACCAGCATTCAGAGGGGCATGGTGGGTGGTGGGTACCCACTGGCCTCTAAGGCCAGAGCTAACACCTGTTCCAGCTAAGAGTTGGGCAAAGAGGGTCTGCCAGTTTTTGGGCCTGGGTGTGACTGAGGGTCTACTGGGCTGGCTCCTCCCCAGCTCCCTCCCCTCCCTCCCCAACAGTGGACATCTGGTCTGTGGGCTGCATCATGGCTGAGCTGCTGCAGGGAAAGGCCCTCTTCCCAGGAAGTGACTGTATCCTTGGTCAAGGTTGGGGAGGCGTGCCAAGCTGGGGTCCCCTCCTGTGTGGTGGGGGCTGGCTGAGAGGACCATCTGTAGAGACCATCTGTGGCCCTTTCTGGCAGGTCTTGCTTCCTTTTGTTGCTCCTCCCCCGTGCCATGCTACCTTGGGCTTGCTATCCTCATCTCTAGGAGAGCAGGCTCTAGGCAGTGCCCCAAGATCTTGTGTCTGGGAGTCTGGGAATATCCATGTCTGACCAGTGGGAGTTTCCTGAGCAAGGTAGACATTGACCAGCTGAAGCGCATCATGGAAGTGGTGGGCACACCCAGCCCCGAGGTTCTGGCAAAGATATCCTCGGAACATGTAAGTCAGTGCCCGGCCAGCTACCACCTCCCTCTGCTGACCAAGCCCCAGATACTCTGGGGGAGAGGGTGGCATAAAACAATGGGAACCAGGCAGGGCCCAGTGGCTCATGCTTGTAATCCTAGCACTCTGGGAAGCCGAGGCAGGTGGATTGCTTGAACTCAGGAATTCAAGACTAGCCTGAGAAAGAGCAAGACCCCCATCTCTACTAAGAATAGAAAAACTAGCCAAGCATTGTGATGGATACCTGTAGTCCCAGCCACTTGGAAGGGGAGGCTGAGGCAGGAAGATTGCTTGAGCCCAGGAGTTTGAGGTTGCTGTGAGCTAGGATGCCATAGCATTCTACCCAGGGCGACTGAGACTCTGTCTCAATAAAAACCAAAAATATATGGGACCATATGGGAACATGGGGCATGGTGGGATAGAACTCAGAGTAGGCACATAACCTCTTTGGGGGAAATAGGTGAACAGGGAAGATATTCCTGGAACAGGGGACAGTTAGAGCAGAATTACTGTTCTGACAAACAGTGCCCTGGCCTTGGGTAGCTGAGGCCCAGGGATAGCTCTGGGACCTGCTCTTGCAGGCCCTATGGGAAGGAGGTCTTGGTCTGCCTGTGCCTTGCTCAGGTCTGTTGGAGTGAATGAGTCTTGGAAAGCTCCATACACAGTTTGGGGCCAGGGAGGGAGGAGGTGAGCAGCCCCCAGGTCCTTCTTGTGTGTCCCCAGGCCCGGACATACATCCAGTCCCTGCCCCCCATGCCCCAGAAGGACCTCAGCAGCATCTTCCACGGAGCCAACCCTCTGGGTGAGGACTGGCCCTGGGGCTAGACTGGGCTCCACATCTGACCCTGGATGCAGAGCTGACCCCCCACTGGCCTGGCCCCCTTGCAGCCATAGACCTCCTTGGAAGGATGCTGGTGCTGGACAGTGACCAGAGGGTCAGTGCATCTGAAGCGCTGGCCCATGCCTACTTCAGCCAGTACCATGACCCTGAGGATGAGCCAGAAGCAGAGCCTTATGATGAGAGCATTGAGACCAAGGACCGCACGGTGGAGGAGTGGAAGGGTGGGCATGGGTGACCAGGAGCCTAGCATGGGTACTGGGGCAGGGGCCTGGGGGCTGCATCCCCTGGAGGCAACACCCCATATTCTCCAGAATGGGGCAGGCAGAGGTGGGTGTGTCCAGCAGAGGGCATGCTGTAGCTCCCATCCTTGGGTAAAGGCTGCTTTTGGGAGGTTAGGGGCTAGGCTGGGCAGCACAAGCTCATCTTTCCTCTCCCCTCCTAGAGCTTACCTACCAGGAAGTCCTCAGCTTCAAGCCCCCAGAGCCACCAAAACCTCCCAGCAGCCTGGAGATTGAGCAGTGAGGCAAGATGCTGCTCCACAGCCACCATTGAACCTATGGAGGGGCCGAAGCCTGCACGTTCCTTTAGTGGGTTAGGTTTCTTGGAGAGCTATCCCCTACACTCCTATGGCCAGGCATCCCTGAGCTCTGGCTTGGGACTTCTTGCCTTGAGGAAAGGCTATGAAACCTGGCTGCACAAATATTTGTGCATATGTGCATGCCATGTACAGGAGTCTGGGCACAAGTGTCCCTGGGCTTATCTTGGTCCTCCTGCCCCCTCCTGGCTGCTGGACTCTCCCTTGGGACCTCACTGTGAGGGGACCTGAATGCCATAGGGGTCCTGCTGTAGAGTGTGTCTGTTTCTGTATCTCCTCTGTCCCAGAGAGCTATGCAGGATACTGCACTGCTGGTTACTGAGACCTACAAATCTAAGAGCTAAAGCAGGCCCAGTGAACCACTAGGCTCAGCAGGATCCTCTCTGGGAGGTAGCAGGGCAGGACAACCACTGGATGTCGAATGAGAAAGGTTGCCTGGCCCACCTGTGGTATGTGTAAGCACATGTACATGAGTATATGGTCCCAGTGTTCATGTGTCAGGACACGTGCTGGTGTGTGTGAATCTGTGGGCACCCAAGGGCCAGCAGCTGTGGCAGGTGGCAGGAAGCCTAAGTTTGGGTGGATATACTGCTGCCACTCCTTCCCTTAGTTCCTGATGCACAATTGGTGATGAGATTCAGGCTAGGAGCTCCAGTGGGCATGTGAATAAAAGCTGGCACTTTCTCCTTTGACCCAGAGCTACAGCTGGCCCCTGAGGCATGAGAGCACACTCCACTGGGACACCTTTGGGGGGTGGAGTGCAGCTGTGAGGATGCTAAAGCAGGCAGTATGCATGGACAGGAACGTGGACTTGGACACCTCTGCCTTGAACCTTGGCCCAAAGCTGACATGCCTCCACCTGCTGTCTGCCTCTGCCCATGATGCAGCTGGAGGTCTGGGATGCTCTGGCCTGCTGGTCAGCACTCATCTTCCATTCTCCCAGAATGGAACTGATGGAGTAATCTCTGGGACAGGACTGCTCAGAGTTGCCAGGGGTGCTCCTCCCTGGAGAGGGGGTGTCCTCTTTCCTGGAAGTGTCCAGGGAGGTTTGAGGCTGAGGGCCTACACAGGGGTACACAATAAAGATGTCTCCTGGCTTGACGCCCGTAGCTCAGTGGGAAGGGTGCCAGCCACATACACCAAGGCTGGTGGGTTGGAACCTGGCCTGGGCCTGATAAACAATGACAACTGCAACGAAAAAATAGCTGGGTGTTGTGGTAGGCACAGCTACCCTGGAGGCTGAGGCAAGAGAATCGCTTAAGCCCAAGAGTTAGAGGTTGCTGTGAGCTGTGATGCCACTGCACTCTACTGAGGGTGACATAGTGAGACTGTCTCAAAAAAAAAAAGATGCCTCCTGCTCAGCCATGTCCAGGATCCAGGCCCTGCTGTACCACACATCTCTAGTCACCTATCTCCCCGCGCCCCCCCCCCAGATATCTGCACTGGCCAAATCCCTTGGGCCCCCAGGCAGACAAATAGCTATCTCTGGCACCTTCTCTGGAGGGTCTGAGAGGCCAGAGACCAGGGGGAGGAAACAAGGCAGGATGGCTAGTCATACAGTGGCCCTAGTTGCCCTCTCAGAGCCAGCCTCTTCTCTCAGTGGTCAGGAAGGCAGGTGGTGGTGGGAGGCACCTGGGTATCCCTAGAAGCAAAGACCTGCCTTTCCCCAGGGGTTGGTAAGGTGGGGGAAGAAGCTTTCCCTTCCTTCCTGGCTAAAGTGAACCCCAGGGGTTCACCTGCTGAACTCTCCTACTGCCCACTGCAGCTCACATGGGAGGAAATGGTCCAGGCCATGCCAGGGATCAGGCAGCATGTCCTCAGGGGTCAGGGACAGTCTGTGCCCTTGCCCTGGTTCTTGGGGCAGGGGTGGAAACCATCTGGGAGTTGGACCTCCAGGGATTCGGTCAGTGTGGTGGCCAACCCTGGGGGGAATACTAGAGACCAGGTTGGGCCAAGTCCAGTATTTGGGAATGGGGGATGGGAGCAGAAATGGGGACATAGCTCTGCTTCCGGAGGCTAGTCTGACATGGCACGCTGATCCCTGATAGACCCCTGGAGATAATGGGGACAGCTATGGGGCTTCCTAGAGGAGGTGGATAGAGTGCCAAAGGCAGCCCAGGGCAGGAAGGGTGCAGGATACAGGCGGTTGTGGTGTGAGTGAGTGATTCACTGGTCACCAGCTGGTGAGTGCTAAAGCCTTGGCGGCTTGAGCTGCTGAGCTGCTGATTCATGTTGGGCAGGCAGGGCACAGAGGGCCAGGCAAGGCCCTAGGGATCCAGTTACCCACCAGCCTAGTGGGCCCTTAAGGTAGACCTCATATTCCCTCTTCAGGCCTGTGTCACTGGGCTGGGAGGGGGTGTGAGCTCTGCCCTCCAGGAACATCTGGGCCAGGTTGGGACCCAGCCCATGAGAAGATGGCTACTCAGAGTTGTCAGGCTGAGGGCCCAAGCAGGTCCCACCCCTTTACCCCTGGAGGTAGGCACAGCTTCCTGGAGAAAATGCAGGAACGCAGTGAAAGTATAGGCTTTCCTTTTTTTTTTTTTTTTTTTTTGAGACAGAGTCTCTTGTCACCTGGGCTAGAATGCAGTGGCATCATTGTAGCTCACTGCAACTTCGAACTCCTGGGCTCCAGCAATCCTCTCACCTCAGCCTCCCAGGTAGCTGGGACTACAGGTGTGTGCCAACATCCCTGGCTGTTTTTTTCTTTTTTTTGAGACAGAATCTCAAGCTGTTGCCCTGGGTAAAGTGCGATTCTCTTGCCTCAGCCTCCCAAGTAGCTGGGACTACAAGACGCCCACCACAACGCCCAGCTATTTTTTGGTTGTTGTTGTCGTTGTTTGGCAGGCCCCGGCTGGATTGGAACCTGCCAGCCCTGGTGTATGTGGCTGGCACCCTAGCCGCTTGAGCTATAGGTGCCAAGCCCTGGCTGTTTTTTTCAATTTTGGTACAGATGGGGTCTCGCTGTTGCTCAGGCTGGTCCTGAACTCCTGACCTCAAAAAGTGACTTTAAGAACTGACCTCAAATTATTTATTTATTTATTTTTAATTTACTTTATATTATTTTTAATTATTTATTTATTTATTATGAATAATAAAAAAAATTAACCGAACTCAAGTAATCTTTTTTTTTTTTTTTGAGACAGAGCCTCAAGCTGTCCCCCTGGGCAGAGTGCGGTGGCATTACAGTTCACAGCAACCTCCAACTCCTGGGCTCAAGCGAGTCTCCTGCCTCCGCCTCCCAAGCAGCTGGGACCACAGGCGCCCGCCACAACGCCCGGCTATTTTGTTGTTTGGCGGGTCCGGGCTGGGGATTCGAACCCGCCACCTTAGGTGTAGGTGGCTGGCGCCTTAGCCGGTTGAGCTATAGGCGCCGAGCCCGAACTCAAGTAATCTTACTGCCCCAGCCTCAGAGCGCTTACGGGATCCGTAGCGGGGGCGGCGCCTGCGCGCAGTGGCTTTTACCGCTGGGCTTTCAAGGACAACCAGGGGTGGGAGAAGCAAGCACCAGTTCTTGCCAATGCTTAGAGCAGGCACCCCTCATGCCAGGGCAGAAAAGGAGGAGCTGGGTGTACAAAAAGGGGGAACCACAGGACTGAAGGCCCGGGATAGAGGAATGGAGTTTGGGGACGCATCATAAGTCTGGGATACAGAACTAGTCCCCGTCCATGTGGAAAGAAAGATGCAGGCTAGACGGGTGCTGGGGGACCCCACATTTGGAAATGCCAGGATCAGCCCCAGGGTGGGGCATGGGGAAATGAGGTGGGAGGTGGACATTGGGAATCCAGGGACCTCAGGGATGGTGTGGGAGGTGGTGTTCCGGGCGGCAGACCGTGTCCAGGGCTGGGGATGGGCTCAGCGCCCACGGATGGTGGGTAGTAAGGAGCAGCCCCAGCTAAGACTCCTCCACTCCCAACCGCTGTGGGGGAAGTTCAGCCAGAGGGCAGACTGCTCCGGGTGGCGCTGCCCGCCCTCTACCCTTCCCCCACCTCCACCCGTGGCCGCGCCTCGGGTTTCCGGAGGGGCCGGAGGGCAAGGGGGGTCACGTGCGCGTGCCCCGGGGGCCGGTTGGTCCGTGTGTGTGTGTGTGTGTGTGTGAGTGTGTGTGTCTCGGGAGGGGCCGTGCGCTGCCCTAGACGGGGTCGAGGTCTGGCCAGGGTCAGCTCCTCGGAGAGACGGGAGATTGCTGGAGAGCCCTAGCGGCGGGCGGGCGGCCTGGTAGCCAGGGCGCGCGCGGAGAGAACCCCGCCAATCCCGGGTCCTCAGTCCTCTGGGCGCGGCGCTTAAGGGATCCGCGGCGGGGGCGGCGACCGGGCCCGCCATGAGCTCCCCGCCGCCTGCGCGCAGTGGCTTTTACCGCCAGGAGGTGACCAAGACCAGCTGGGAGGTGCGCACGGTGTACCGGGACCTGCAGCCCGTGGGCTCGGGCGCCTACGGCGCGGTGTGGTGAGCGCGGCCCGGGCGGTGGCGGGCCGGGAGCGTCGTGGGGTTTAGGGGCGCCTCGGACTTCCCACTAAGCTGTCCATCCCGCAGCTCGGCCGTGGACAGCCGAACGGGAGCCAAGGTGGCCATCAAGAAGCTGTACCGGCCCTTCCAGTCGGAGCTGTTCGCCAAGCGCGCTTACCGTGAGCTGCGCCTCCTCAAACACATGCGCCACGAGAACGTGAGTCACTGGGCGTAGGCCCCGGGAAGAGCAGCCCCTTTCTAGGGGACACGACTTCCTCCAGGCCCCACTAGAAGGGGGAACCTCTATGCCGGTTTCAGGGGAGCACTCAGGTCCTTGACTTCTTCCAGGGCCATGTCTGGCTCCTCACCCCAGTTCCTGGGCAGCGGTCAAGACTGCCTCTTGGCCCAGCACGGTGGTGAGAGGGGATGCTGCAGGTGAGAGGAATTCTCCTGTTCTGAACCCACCTTGCTCTAGTCCACCTCCAGACGCTTACAGCCCAGGCAGGGCAGGATGTTGGAACTGGACCCTAGCCCCACCATCTCGGAGAGCTCTGGTGAAGAATTTAGGGAGGTGGTGTTTCAAGAGCACAGGGCACAGTTGCCCTCGCACAGACACCTTCACATTTGTGTGGGGACGTATCTGAGCCTCCATCTGGTAAAGGCCTGTCCCTGGGACACTACATGTGGCTGCCCCTGGACCTCTCCGACAATCAACAGTCGATGCTTATTGCTAAGAGCCTTTTCTCCGCCAGGGAAGCTCCTCTTTCTTTCTTTCTTTCTTTCTTTCTTTTTTTTTTTTTTTAAGAGACAGACTCTCCCTCCCTCACCCTCGGTAGAATGGAGTCACAGCGCACCTCTAGCTCTTGGGCTTAGGCGATTCTCTTGCCTCAGCCTCCTGAGTAGCTGGGACGACAGGTGCCTGCCCCAATGCCCGGCCATTTTTTGTTGCAGTTTGGCCAGGGCTGGGTTCAAACCTGCCACCCTTGTCGGTATATGGGGCCAGCACCCTATTCACTGAGCCACAGGTGCTGCCTGAGCTTCTCTTTCTTAACCCAGTTCTTTCTGGTCTGTCTCCCACCCATGTCACTACTGCCCTAGCCATAGTCTGGGCACTGAGACCCCTGCTCCTGACTGTTGTACACTCCTGGGTCATTGGTACCACCAGCCCCTGGTGAGAATGAGTCCCTGCGTCCACCAGCAAACTATGCCTGTGACTCTTGGCTACTGCCACTCACTTGGGCGCAGTGTTGGGCCCTGACTTCTCTCAGATCCCTCATGTCCGCCCCAGTCCCAGCACTGGCCCCCCTTTCTGTGTGAAATCCACTTGTAGCAGCTGGCACATTGCCTGTATTAACCCTGCCCCCATCTGACCATGTCCTTTGCGTGCACCTGCCCCCTGGGTGTCATCCAGCTCCTTCTCCATGGCCTCCCAATTCTTACACACCCACTTGACCTGCCTGGCCATCACCTCTGTCCAGCCAAGGGGTCACTGCCCACCTTTGGCCCAGCCTGTGCTAGGATCACCCTGCTGTGCCAGTAGGTTCAGCTATCCCCAGTGGGCTCCTAGCCATGGCTGTACGCTCTGCATATTGTGGCACCATTTTCTCTTGAGGAGCCTGAGGCTCTTGCTCCTCTTGCTGGTTGGAGGAAGGAGAAGCTGCCACAGGTCTAGTCCTGCTCCTCCAGGCCCTCTCCCTCCTCTTAAGCCCTGGCCCACTCCTCTGGGCTTCAATGCACACTGTAGAGCCGGAGGGCATTTGTCTCTTGGACCCCTAACCCCCACAGCCCTATTCTCTGTCCTTTTCTCCCCAAACGCTCTCCTGAGCACCCTGTGGCTTTCAGCTGTCACCTCACCACATATCTGTAGCACCTACCCCAGGCGCCTTTCTGAATGATGCCCCTTCACTTTCCTTCCCTTCTCCTCATCCACTCTCCCGCCACAACTCTGGGCCTAGTGGCTACAGTGGTCATCCAGCTGTCCTCCCCCCTGGTGTCCATTCTTGCCTCTCTTGGTCTGTCTTAACACTGAGGCGGAAGGGTTATGTCTAACATCCAGCCATGTTTAAACTTTTCCTTATTGGCTTTCAGGATTGAAGCCAGACCCTCACCTGGCGTGGAAGTCATGCTTGGCTCTCTCTGGGCTCTCAGCTCCTCCCTGGCCTGGGCCTTGGCCACCTGGCCTCCCTCCCCAAATTCTTCAAGCTATGGAAGTGTTCTTCCTGCCTTGCCACTGTACTGTGCCCTCTGTCAGGTGTTCCCCTGTTGGGATGTCCACCTGCCTCTTGGCTGCTCTACTATGCAGAGCTCTTCCACGAGGCCTCCTTGAGACCTGGAGGCCCTGTCCCCCAGTCCTCCCAAGTACTAGGTAGCAGCTGGCACTTGCCTATCTGCTGTCCATCTCCATCTTCCTGAGCCAGGGCCTCTGTGGGGAGCAGGTGGGCATGGTGCTGCCTGGCCCTGGGAAGAACCTGCTAGTTGTTGGCTCTCCTTATTTGGGTCTGGGTCTGTTTGGTTGGAAAGAGGAAAAGAGAGGAAAGGCCAAGGGGGCTGGAGCCCTTTGGTGGCTCAGAGCCAGCCCAAACTTGGGGCTGCCCCTCCCCCAGGAGATCCTGGATGTCACCATCCAAAAATAGCCTTTGTCTGTGGATATGTGTGCCAGGGCCAGGCCACACTGCCAGTGGACTGAGTCAGGCCCTGTGGACAGTGGGGTAACCAGAACAGCTGTGAGGGGTGGTTCCTGCCCAGAAGGCAGGGCCACCCTTGGAGGTGCTCAAGGCCCTGGATCTTCTGCTGCACCCTCAACCCCATCTGGTGCTCTGTCCTCTCCCCAGGTGATCGGGCTACTGGATGTGTTCACACCTGATGAGACCCTAGATGACTTCACAGACTTGTGAGTGTCAGCCTAGGCTGCCTGGCCAAGGTGGGAGGGGTGCTGGGCAGCTCCAGGTATTGGCTTCAGGTTCTGGGTTGACATGTGGTCACCTTCCTGCAGACCAGATAGGGGTTGCACACTGCCTACCCCTTGCCCCCATGCCTCTGGTACCTGCCTGGCACTGGCATGGCCAGTGGCACTGGGGCCTTCTTTTCTCCCTCAAAGCCTGGCTCCTGGGCCCTCTCCATCAGTGAGGTGTGAACCTTGGGCTTGAGCATTTGTTAATGTGCAGGTCCTGTGCTCAGGACCTTGCCCTGAGTGTGTGCCTATAACCAGAGCCACTGACCTTTTTGTTGGTGGGGAGTGGGAAGAAGTGGAGGGAGGACCCACCCTGACTTTGCCCTATTGAGCCTGCCTGTGGCCAGGTGCCCCTGGACTCATACTATTGTTGGCCAAAAATCAAGGACCAAGCCTAGGAAGTGTTGGAGAGGGCAACAGGCTCCTTGCTGCCTGGCCAGCAGTGGTCATGGGCCACATTGCCCTCAGTGTCCTGTGGGGGCTAAGTGCCGCACCCTTTGGTTCTCTCTTCACCTACCCAGCCCAACCCTCTGACACTAATGTCTTGCCCCCAGGTCTTTCTCTCTCTGGCACCCAGTCCTGAAATGGAAACTGACCACCTCCCTCCCTTGCCTATGAAGATTTGTGCTCCTCTGCCCTTAGGATGCAGTCTCAGCTGCTAACTTGGGTCATAGGGCCTTTCAGTTGAGAGTTTAAAAGCCCCAAGGCTTCGTGCTCATGCCTGTAATTCCAGCACTTTGGGAGGCTGAGGCAGGAGGATCGCATGAGGCCGGGATCAGTTAAGGATCAGACTAGACAACATAGCAAGATCCCATTTCTGAAAAAAAATTAGCCAGACATGGTGGCATGCATCCAGTAGTCTCAGCTACTCAGGAGGCTGAGGAAGAATGATCCCTTGAGCCCAGGAATGAGCTTGGACTGTGCAATGCCCTCAAGCCTGGGTGACAGAGCAAGACCATGTCTTAAAAATAGACAAAAATCCCCAAAGCATGGCTCGGTGCCTGTGGCTCAAGTGGCTAAGGCACCAGCCACATACACCTAAGGTGGTGGGTTCAAATCCAGCCCGGGCCCGCCAAACAACAATGACAGGAGCAACCAAAAAATAGCCGGGTGTTGTGGCGGGCACCTGTGGTCCCTGCTACTTGGGAGGTGGAGGCAGGAGATTTGCTTGAGCCCAGGAATTGGAGGTTGCTGTGAGCTGTGATGCCACGGCACTCTACCCAGGGGGACAGCGTGAGGCTCTGTCTCAAAAAAAAAAAATCCCCAAAGTGCAGTCTGCTCCATACCTGACAGTGTAGTCAGGGTGGGTGAGAAGGAAGTATGGGTGGTACTGAATGACAGGTAGGGCTGGACTATAGAGGAAGCCTGGCATTGCACAGGGGCTGAGCCCTTGATTGGTGGGGCAACTGGACCTCAAGGCTGGTGGGCTAGGTGCTGGATGGTGATCTTTTGTAAGGGGGGATTGGCTGGGGCAGTGGGTAGGGCCTGGGACAGGGGCTGGCTCTGACTGCTGACTGGGCCCCGGCCCTGGCCCCACACAGTTACCTGGTGATGCCATTCATGGGCACTGACCTGGGCAAACTCATGAAGCACGAGAAGCTGAGTGAGGACCGGATCCAGTTTCTGGTTTACCAGATGCTGAAGGGGCTGAAGGTGGGGCCATAGGGGCCTGTGGGGGTGTGGGTAGGCTTTGTGGTTCAATGGTCCTCAAGGTCCCCGAGCTGACAACTGCCTACCTCTCTCCCCTACAGTATATCCACGCTGCTGGCATCATCCACAGGGTGAGTTCTGGCAGGAGGTACACATCGGCCCTCTCTGTGTGGTCATGGGAGGGGCCCAGGCCCCCAGCATCTGCCTCTCCCTGCCCCAGCAGGGCCACTTCTGTGGGGGGTGGGGGGCAGGCTGAGCCTGGTGGCCCTATCCTTAGGTGCTGGGGCCAATAACATGCTCCAGTAGGCCATGGACTGTGGCCACCTTTCCTCTGCCCTCAGGACCTGAAGCCTGGCAACCTGGCAGTGAATGAGGACTGTGAACTTAAGGTAAGTGTTACCCTGCAGGGTGCCAGGGCTCCCTCCTGACCTGCCCACCTGACCACCTGTCCTCAGGACCAGGCAAGACACCCAGACCCCAGGCTTTGGGCAGTGGCCAAACAGCTGATGGGCATCTGGACTTTGGGGAGGCCCTTGGTGGGTGTTGTGTCAGGTGTCCCCCATACCTGCTTCACAGAGGGGATGGGTCATCCCTGGTCCCCCATGTTTGACCCAAGGAGAGCTTCCCGAAGATGAGGAGGGGTGACAGAGTGGGGATGGAGACCCATGGGGCACCTATTCCTAAGGTTGGTTGGGTCCTGGCCATGGGGAAGAACCCAGAAGGGGACTTGAGGTCTGAGGCTGTGGCCTCAAGCCCTAGAAGGTTGGCAGGAAGCCCAAGTGTGGAGGCTTCAAGAACAGCCACCTTGGGGTCAGCTGGCCTGTTCACTCCTCAGGGGTCCCCTTGTCCCTGCCTCTCTGATTCTACCCTCAGATCCTGGATTTTGGACTGGCTAGGCAGGCAGACAGTGAGATGACTGGTTATGTAGTGACACGGTGGTACCGGGCACCCGAGGTCATCTTGAACTGGATGCACTACACACAGACTGGTGAGCAGCGCCCTGTGACATGGGGTACGTGGCGCCCCCAGGATGACTGCTGAGCTTGGGTAGAAGCTGGGCAGGGGCATGGGCAGGCCATGTCTGTGTCCCCTCCTTGCTCATGAGTGCTTATTAGGACTTCTGTCTCAGTGGACATCTGGTCTGTGGGCTGCATTATGGCAGAGATGATCACAGGGAAGACGCTTTTCAAGGGCAATGATCGTATCCTTCAGCTGTGGGTCTGCATGGGGCATGGGGGCCCTGGGTCAGTGTGGGGGGCTGCTCTGTGGTCCCCAGTTGTGCTCCTGACCTCACTGCAGACCTGGACCAGCTCAAGGAGATCATGAAGGTGACAGGCACACCGCCACCTGAGTTTGTGCAGAGACTGCAAAGCACAGATGTCAGTGGAGGACGGGGGGGGGCTGGGGCCGTCCCTTGTGGCTGGCCCCTCAACCTCTCCCCACGCAGGCCAAAAACTACATGAAGGGCCTCCCGGAGCTGGAGAAGAAGGACTTTGCCTCCATCCTGACCAATGCTAGCCCCGTGGGTAGGACAGGGTGGGGCAGGGGTTGCAGGGTGTGTGTGGGGCCTCCCACAGCCTGGCTTGACACATCCCTCACCCCAGCTGTAAACCTCCTGGAGAAGATGCTCGTGCTGGATGCAGAGCAGCGTGTGACGGCAGCTGAGGCACTGGCCCACCCCTACTTCGAGTCCCTCCACGACACAGAAGATGCACCTGAAGCCCAGAAATATGATGACTCTTTTGACGACATGGACTGCACGCTGGATGAGTGGAAGCGTGAGTGGGGGGCTTTGGGCATTGCCTGTGCAGACCTGCTCCTGCAGTGGCTGAGCTCAGTCCTGGGCCTCTAGGATGCAGGTCAGGTCAGCAGGAGGTCAGGAGGTCAGAGGACAGTGTAAGGCCATGCCTGGCTGACATAGCCTCTGGCTGGAGCTGAGGGATGAAGTGAGGTTGTCCCCAGATCTGCTACCCTGTTTGTGTTGCCTTGCCTCCTCAACGTCCATGCTAAAGATCCAGGCCACACTGGTGCCCTCTCCCCATGCACCTGTTCTCAAGGACGTCCACTGGGTCCATGTCTCTGCTCATACCTACTATCTGTCTTGCCTTTCCTTGCCCCATTGAAGGATCTTTCCCACCTGGAGGACTGCATATACTTGGTGTCCTGCCCATGGCTGTGGTCTGCCCTGCTGCCCCAGGGCCTCTCTCCCTGTACAACCTGACTAAACAGTCCAATGCCCTATAACTGTGCCCTCTGCCTCCAATCCTGGTGTGGCCATCCCTCCCACAGAGGCTGTCTTTGAGTGTTGGCAGCACCCACATGGCTTTGGGCTGCACTTAGGGAGGCTCCATGCTAGAACTGGCTTTGGTTCTGCTCTGAAGTGGCAATAAGGGCTGGGCTGGTCCTCTCCTTGGCTTCACGGCCAGCCTGGGGGGCACATTACCCCAGCCCATCCTGGCTCTGGCCTAGATGGGCTGAGGTTCTCAATCCCTGTTCCTTAGGGCCACAGGGCTCCTGGTGACTCCCAAAGGGGCTCCACCCTTATCCATGCTGCGTTGTGTGCTTGGGTTTGGTTTTGTTTGATGAAAGGATTCTGGTGCTAAAAAAGATAACTCAAAAACCACAGGCCACAGGATCCTCTCTGTGGTCCCCACCCATGCAAACTATGGCTGGGTGATTTTGCTTTCACAGCAGCATGTGGTACACATGTGGCCTGTTTTTGGCTGAGAGTCCCTGGTCAGGAATGTTTTCCCTCCTGCTTCCCTGGGAAAATCCAGATATGCAGCAATGGCCTCTGCACACAAACCGTCCCTCAGTGGACTGCCTGGGTCAGGGCCAGAGGGGTCTCACTGTGACATCACCCTCTCTGACTCACCCCCCAGGTGTCACATACAAAGAGGTGCTCAGCTTCAAGCCTCCCAGGCAACGGGGGGCCAGGGGCTCCAAAGAGACGGCTTTGTGAAGATCTCTGGGCTCCAGGGTAGTGGTGGGAGCTTTCACCTTGGCCTGCTCCCTGGGAGGGAGATCCTGGTGACTGCCTTGAGCCTGGTGGGGGCTGGCATCCCAAAGTGTCTACTTGGAGAAGACCTCTCTTCTTCCGAGCCTATTTCTGTGCTGTCTGGCACCACCTCAGCACCTTCAGGACCTCTGCCTGACCTGGGGATCATCTCTGAGTCCTGGATCCTTGGCCTTGTCTGCCAGGGTGCAGCCAGAAACCTCAGAGCCAGCAGAGCATAGGGTTAAGTCCTGGTCTCTGAGCCCTGCTGGGCCCCAGCTCAGGGATGTCATTTGGGACTCCTCTGTACCCCCAGCCTGGAATGTAAATTAGCCTGTGGTTCATCTGTGTGGCTGGAAGGGAATAAACTCTTTTTGTAGACCACCCACTCTGGCTATGTGTCCTACATAGAGATAGGAGGCTGACCTGAGAGTTCAGGCCCTCTGAGCAGGGGAGACTCCCGAAGATCTTGCCGGCCCCAGGGCTGGTGCCTACTTTGCCAGTCATGTGCCAGTGAACCGTGTGCACCTGTGCTCACCCCTCCCCTCACGTGGAGTGACCCTCTGACAGCACAGAGTGCAGGGTACAGCGAGTGGACCCTGGAGCCAGGACCAGTGGCGGAGCCAGGGAGGGGAGGGAGTCTTAGTGTCCAGCCTGGACCTCCAGCCCAACTGTCTGAGCTCCTTGCATT